GCAAACTATGGTTAGTAAATGCTATAAAAAAGAATTAAAATAATATAAATTATAACACATGTACTTATGCAGAATCACAAAAGAATGACACACTTCAAGCTCTGTGGAAATACCACCGCGTGTTTAGGTTTAATGGAGAAACCTCGAAACATGAATGTGCAAAATCCCAATGACTTCCATGAAGACTAACAAATCCCCCCAGTGAAGATGACAAATGAAGTACGCTACACCACTAATTTAAGAAAGGAACTATTTCATATGTAATCACAGCAGTGGCTCAATGGCTCACTTACCGGATGAAAGAGTTGCCATCGGAGCATAAAAGGAACCAAAATTGTAACTTTCTCCAGTACGTGGAAGGTTATAGGGCGTTTTAATTTTCCTTCTTTGAAGCCTATGCCGGTAGATTATTATTATTATTTTTTTTTATAAGTTGAATTTTAAAAAATGGAAGGGAGAATGAAAGGGGCAAAATAAGGAAAGAATAAAATTTATTTATTTTTTTCACTAAACTCCTAACTCTATAAAGGAGAAGCTATTTGAGCATCTGTCTCTCCATTTATAAGATTTAAATTCGTAATATTACTTATGGAAATCTGAGTTCTTTCCATTCGGATCAATAAGTTAGTAGAAAGATATATACTTATGATTGTGGATTGAAGATGCTGGTGTAAATTAACAGAGAGAGAAGAAAATTAAAGTAGTAAAAAGAACTTACTAAATAAAGAAAGGATAACAAGTGTAAGAAAAAGAATAAAATTAGGAAGGACTATGAAACTAAGAGAATCGTATTTATCCGTCTTATCAACTAAAGATTAAGAATAATATTATTCCAAAACTACGTCATTTTAATAAATACTTATTGAAAAAGATTAAAATGTTCTATTTTTAAAAGCATGAATTACGAGATTTTTTGTTCTTTTTCCTCTTAATTTTTTAGAGATAATGCGGATAAATATTAACCCCTTAAACTAATTTATAAGTTAATGGTTAAAAATGTGCATATATGATAAGTTTAGGATTAAAATTTTGCTTATATAGACAAATTTAATAAACTAAACTAACCAAAAAAAAAAAAAAAAAAAAGAAAAGAAAAAAAGAAGTGCATTTTTCATTATTTAATGTAAGGTTTTTTTTTTCCATTATTTATATAACTTTCATCATTTGGATATTTTTATAATTAATCCTTAACAAATGTATTGTATGGGGATGAATTTCCCATTACTTTATGGTGTAAACCAAAACAACAATTTCTAAATTTAAAGGCTCGGAAGCAAGAAATATGTCAGGTTTTGGTTGTGACTTCAATGGGGATTAGGTCCTTTGATGGTAAGAAAATATATAAAGCTTTTTCATTATTTTTTTTTCAATTATTAACCTTATATACACTACAAGGAAACAGTTTTTATGTAACGGTAAAACCAATCGCAAAAATTTATATTTTTTGTCACAAATTGTATTTGTATCTAAAAGTTGGTTAATTGTTGTTTGCTATAAATACTGAGTCACTAAAATTAATAGTAACTAATTTTGCAATTATGACAAAAAATCATGATTTTAGTAATGAAAAAAATGAACACAATTATTAGTTTATTTGTAACAATTATATGTGTCACGCCCCAGAACCCAAATCCGGGGACGCGACAGACGCCGTGCACTCGTGAGACGGGTCCCACAAGTGCACAAGGCTCGGAACTTATTCAAATCACAATCTGATACCACAAAATTTCAAGATAAAATTTTACCATCTGCTCTGATATCATAAAATCTCCAAATACACTCTAGCTTGCAAGAGCATGATTTATTTCTAAATCTATACCAATCTCGAAATGGCTACCCTTCTAACTCGTCACTCCCCTCGGTTTCCCTATCCTCGGTATCGCTTCCTGAAATGGTGGACAAGGAAAACTATGAGATAAAATATCTCAGTAAGTAAATATGGATAGCCCTTGGGTAAAACTTTTAAGTACGCCAGATAAACAGTTTAATATAACCAAAACGCTCAGTGACAAAATCAGATTCAGTTTAATTGCAAAGCATTCAATGACAACTCGTCAATGCAAAATCAGATTCAGTTCAATAACAAAACGTTTCATGACAAACCGTCAATGCAGAAGAAAACTCAATTCAGTAGTCTCATCTATAAGTTATGGCCAGCGTTTATAAACCTCCCACTGGCAGGCACAGTAGTTGCCAATGTTAAACCCCATAGGCAAGGTTACAAAAGTGCCAGTGTTTAATAACTCCCACTGGCAGGCGTCAGTAATGGTGCCAGTGTTTACAACTCCCACTGGCAGGCAACAGTAATTACCAATGTTTAACCCCATTGGTAGGGTGAACTGGTTCTATCAGTAAACATGACGACATGTGCTAGCATTTATAAACCTCCCACTAGCGGGTACAGTAATCAGTAATCATGACTATATCTGAGACAAAACCATGCAGAGTTTACAGAAAACCCGAATTTCACAATCAATCCCAAATTTTAGAACAAACCGGAAAATTTCAATGTGGGCATGGATTTATCAGAAAACTCAAAATTTGTAAATTCTCAGTTCATCAAAACAGTTCAGTCAATTCCAAATAGGCATGCTCTACTCAATACCAACGAAAACAGTTTCATTTCAAACCAATCATGCTCGGTGCAATAACTCCAGAAAAACAATGAAATTCTCACTTTTCATTTCAATCATGCTCAATTCCAAAAAGACAGTGAAATTCTCATAAAAACCATCACAATTTCCATTTCAGTTTAATCACATTCAGATGCTGATAAAATCAATTTAAAATCACTTTAAACCTTGCCACCATCTCAAAAACAGTTTAAAACATGCTTTAAAATCGAAGGGCTTTACCACAATTTACTTACCTCACTCGCACAGAACAAAAGGCTAACCCAAGTGCTTCGGTGACAGAACGATCAGAACCTAATCACAGTATTCAAGAATTAATAACCATACTACCACAAATCCAAAGTAAAATCATCTTTAACACTACCCCTAATCACGGTGTTATTTCTATCAATCTTCACCTAATCGGACATCTCCAAATTCATTCTTATATCACAAACTAATCATTTAAATACCCGTTAATTATTGACCCTCGGTGTGTGAACAGTGCCCGTGAACAGTGCCCATGAACAGTGATCCGCAGTGAACAGTGACTGCAATCCTCCAAAATAATCTCACGGGTTTTCTCCAAAAATCACAACAGGCCAAATCAAGCTAATTTTCTACTTAAACAACACTTAAAAACATAGCTTAAAGCTACCAAAATTCATTTCCAATTTCAACAGAAATTCCCGAACAGTACAAGGGCAAATCAAAGGCAGAAAATTCAAGATTCAAGGCAGCAAATCAACGGACAAATTCGGGGTTGGAGGGCTGTCACATACCGGAATTTAACAAGCAAAACCGGAGCTAGCAGGGAGAAGAAGTCGACGGCAAGTGCGAGGGGGGGAGCTCACGGAATTAACCCAAATTCAAGAACCAAAACAGAGATTAGAGTAACCCAAGCCAAATCAAAGCTAAAGAGATGATTTTCATGGCTGTGGCTTACCCGAAAAATGCCCAAAATTCAAACCCACAAGCTGAAGCCGACGAACAGCAGAAGGGGGAAAAGACGCAGAGCAGATCTGGAATTTCCAGCAGAGAGGGGGGGAGTTTCTGGGTTCAAGAACAAGAAAAGAAGGAGAAATTCATCAAGATCTCACCGGGTTTTTCAAGGGGGAGAGAGTCGGTGGCTTGGGGGCTTGTCGGGAGGAAGAATCGAGAAGAAGAACAGAGCAGACACGCGGCTGATGAGGAAGAAAAGAAAGAAAAAGAAAAGAAAAAGCAGTTCATCCTTATCCTAATTTTCTTTTTTTTT